TAAGCTTCTTTGTGCTGTGCTTTAATCTGCTGCGCCACCAGGGAGGGCCTGGCTTAAGCTTCTTTGTGCTGTGCTTTAATCTGCTGCGCCACCAGGGAGGGCCGATAGTTGTTTTTTTATTTGAACTGATAAAATATATGACCATATTAGACATATACATGTATATCTTAATCTATACGGAAAGTTTATTTTATCTAAGGTGCTGTTTTCTCTAGGTATCAGATCAATTCATATATGTTGTTGAAATAATTATATATATATATAACAATTATAAATACATATTTTACCATCCCTGAAGATGGTAACTAAAGAAAGTATATAGAAAGCTAATGTAATCCTTTATAGTACTAACAGCTATTTGTCTATGGTATCTTGTTTCATTTAGTCCTCACTTCCACTCTAAGTGGATATAATCAGTGTACAGTGTCTGTTATTTGGTTATTCATTTTAAAGATGAGAAAATGCAGACGAGGAGAAGTGTAGGGACTTGCCCAAGGCCTCTGGCTAGGTGAGTGTGAACACCAGGGTTACAACCCAGATCTACTTACATTCAAATGCCACATTCTGTCCTCTGTGCCACACTGCCTGTCATCTTTGTTTTCTGATAAAATGCCAGATAAATGCCAGTTCTTGCAAATGTACCATCACAAGTGGTTTTATAATATATTGTATTTATATATTTACATGTAGATGAAGGTTATATTACATAATCTACATTATCTATCAGAGGTATACTTGTATAAATGTTAAGTTGGGTCTTAACATTTGGTTGGTGGTAATATCATGGCCAGTTGAGCATGCCAGTGTGGTCAACAGGCTAGAATTTTATCCACAAAATCTAAGTTAAAGCATTCAATAGTTGTGAGCGTGAATAATGAGCTACAGGGGTTTGGAACACAGTTTGCAAGAGGTTCCCCCTTTACTTGCTGGCTTGGCAGGCCACATCTGTCAGCTGTATGCCAGGACACACTCAGTGGTGCTCCGAATTATACTAACCAAAGACCCCACTGACTGCAGGCTACACAGAAGTCTGATATTTCACAATAGTCTGCCACAGAACTGAACAGAACTTTGTTCTAGAAAGAACTAGATGTGGTTCCACAATAGTGTCAGTATCACTGAGCTGATGACCCCATAGTCACTCCCTTCCTTTCTGTTCAAAGACATGGTGGCTCTATAGCTGTCTCTGAATATGCCCCCTGGGTGTATAACCACTTTAGGGTATTTATAGGTGCCTGTCTAGAGTGGGTGTTATAAATCTGAAAATTATACATTGATAATAAAAACCTAATAAAGAAAGGATGCTGAGTTCAAATGAAAACCAGTGTGCTGCCTGGCAATTGGATTCTGTTGTTGAGGTGAAACCCCATAATATTGCATCTGTCTTCCCAATGTAAATCCTTTCTTATTCTGTGCGAAAATTGCAGAGATTGCAAAATGCACTTTTCAGTCCCAATGTCACAGCCCAGTGGGTGAGATGTGAAAAAAAAAATACAAAAAAACTGAAGTTCTCATTAGATGACATGGCAAGCCCCCAGAGCTAACAGACTAGCAGTTCCTGGGGAACCCAGCCAGCTACCCAGAAGATGAGGCTCTATTTTGAAACCTCCTGTCACTTTTCTCTTCGAAGGTACAGGTTTGAGTGTGAGGTTCCAATACCTAAGAGAGAACATAAAGCAGTTTGAGTCTAACACCATCTGGAAAGCTTTAGGAGGTTCACATTATCCTTGCACTGCCACCGAGAAGAAAAATCAACTCTGATTTTTAGGAAGGAGGGAAGCTATTTAGGTTTGGCTGGAATCATGCCCCCAGTTGCTCTGGCAGAACATATTACTTTCTCTCCTTTGCTTGCTCCCTTTGAAGAAACCAAGAGACTAATAGGAAGAAATCCAACTGTACAGGTCCCAAATGAAGCTCCACACACAGCACTCTGCCACCAAGTCGCTGAGTTGGCACTTGTAGACACGACACAATAACTGCAGAATCTGTTAGAGATATGACATCAGCCCTGTGTTCCAGGTGTCAGAGATGAGAGCCAGGCCATTAACAGTAAGGCACTTGAGTGCCACTAAGAATCAGTGGAGAAAGCATAACACTTCCAATACCTTTCTCCCTCAGGCTCCCAGGCTGGGGCTTTGGGGCAAACTCATTATGCTAAAGCCTGCTGTAAATATTATTGCTCCAGACACTATCAAAAAAGAACTACAGGGACTCAGTCCTTGTCCTGGAATATTTAGAATGTGCCCATCCTTCTTTTGGTCCTCATAATTTTACAATGACTTGCGTGATACATGTTCTGAACGATCTGACTGCTGCACATACTGCTGAACTATTGGGTTTATTACACAATGAGGGAACTTCAGGAGAAAGGTATTTTATTTATAGCACCACTGTATCACAATTTAATTTCCTTGTTCACCATGGCAACATGAGGCAACATGTACAAATTCTGCTTTGGTAGAATGTCACCAATAAAACATATTTAGAATCCTACTGATGGGGGAGCAGTGGCTAGCTGTTAAACCATATCTACCCAAAAGCAACTGAAAATTCCAAGAAGTTATATGATGTGCCTAATATACAGCTGGGCCCAGTTGGAAAGTGCCTTGTTTTGTTTCTACAGGGCTCACTTTGAACCAAGATGTGCTCAGCTATGGAGATAAACTCGCCTCATAGAGTTAATGTCCCAAGTGTCATGAAAATCATGCATGACATTACCTTCTTATTAGCATTTTCAATGCAGGTGAGGTTCTGCCTTCTCCGGTGGGGTCTCTATATGATCACCAAGGGAGGCTGGAGGTCATTCATTTGGGACTGCTTTATTTTCCTCCTACTCTAACAAAATCTTGAGAAACTTGATTTCAGGAAAGAAAATTATTGCCTAAAATGACAATGGTATGGTACCAACTCATTGTAGAGTATCTGTAAGTCAGCTGAATTTTCCTACATTACAGTGATCTTGTGATGCAATATTATATATGCCTCTATTTTATTACAGCCACTGAGGGATAGTTTACAGGAACTTTCATTGGTTTAAAACCAGCCAGAATATCTACTTCAAGTTCATATAGTGACATTTTCTTAAAAACAGTTCCCAGGGCCCTCCCTGGTGGCGCAGCGGGTTAAAGCACTGCACAAAGAAGCTAAAGCCACTTCCGCATGAGTTCGATCCCCGCCTGCCCCGGAGGAGATCCGCATGGCGAGGCAGACCTCTCCTGACCCGCCCGCTGCTCCCCTCAGCAGTGGACTTCCACGATCTGCCTGTTCTGCTCCCCACTCTGTCCGTCGTGAATCCTCTCACCCTCCGCATCTCTGGCCTGTACCCCAGTTCTGCATGAATAAATAAATAAATCTTTTAAAAAACAAACAACAACAACAACAAAAAAAAACAGTCCCCAATGTCCTAGTTTATTTATTCTTGACTTCTAATTGCTCTCCAACCTTAACAGTTCCATGTCCCTCAGATTACATTATGATTACATATAACCTTAGATGGCAGGTGCCATCTCAAGTAGGCTGGACAAAGAAATATTTACAATGTGATCTGGACCTTGGGGGTGGATTCTGGAATGCAAGCCCACGCCTCTGCTTCAGGGCCACATTGTCTGTATCTTATTACGATGCACCCATCCCGTGTTTGATGTGAGATATCCATGTTATAACCAGTCCAGAAGGGCTAATTCTGGTGTAAATCGTATACCCGCTATAGGGATGTTGAGGTTGGGATTGCTAGGCTTACACCATTTTTTGAGTAAAACTGAGGTCATTTCTTTTAACAGAGTAATATAACTTTTCTATCATAGCTAAAAGTGAAAAGCTGAAAGACAAAATCATCACCCACTCACCCACAACTAACAAATTTAAACTAGAGAAAGTGAAGATATTTGAATAGAACTGCAGAAAAATCAAAATGTCAAGTTATTAGTCCTTAATACCAGGTTTATTATGAAACGTGATAAGTTTTCCAAGTTGAATGTTTCATAAAACAAAATTTGCTTCTAAGCACACAGTAGAACTCTGAGAACTGAAAAAGAAAAAAACATAATGACAACTTTGAATTTTTCTGTGTGAAAAGACACACAGAGGATTGAGGTAGCACTTTTGGTGTCCTGTGGGAATGATGGGGTTTTCCATGTCACTCCCATTTGTGTCTTTAAATAGGAAAAAATTGGCTTGAACAGTAAGCCTATCATAAGTTTTGATGGCAACATTCTGATATTTTTTAAGAGTTATATTTTTCAAGGTAATGTTATATCACTATCTGCTTCAGTTGTGCATCAGTGAAAAATCAACATGTGTATGGATTCCATGAAGTTCACCAGTAAAGTTCAATGTTATCCTTTAGCCTATGGTAACTGTTAATAAAATATATTTCCCCTACTCTTTTAACAAAATAGGGGGTATCATTAATACAAATTCACTGTAGCATCATTATATATCATCTTCACAATGAACCTATGTGCTTATCTGAAAGACATGCTTACATAAGTGTGTGTTCCACTTCTTTCCCTGATGCTTTATGCTATATTTGAAGTATTCTGTATTTCCATCTTCTAAAAATTCTTTTTGCCAATATTCTAAATGGCTAATATGGTCAGAAGCCTGGCCACTGCTGAATGAAGTAGCATCCTATCTTGGGAATAGGAGTTCCTTCATTCCAGCCTAACACTTATTTACATTTCTGATTATCTATTTATTCACAACCTCACTTCCAAAGTTAACCTGTGGTGGTTCCAACTCACCCACAAGGTCACATCCAAATTAAAAAAAAAAAATCCATTGATAGAAAAACTGCAGCAGCCTACCTACACCACACCATTCATAACTGTAAATTCATTCATGATGAAGCCTTGTTCGCAAATCTTACTCCACATACGGTACCCACACGGCTGCAAGTATGGCCAGGAGCCTCAAAGTGGCCATTTGATCATGATATGCCAGCATCTGTAGCAATGTGGCAAAAGTTATGTATTCACCTGCACTCTTCTCTCCCATTACAGGTGGGCAGCATGCTGAAGACACCCAAATTACCTATTTGGCTGTGCAACATCAATGGAAATTACAGTGTCCTTTTTAGCACAAACAGGCAGCTTTTATCAGACTGGAAAATGGAACGTCTCTTTGATCTGTACTTTTACAGTGGGAAGCCCTCACAGGAAAAGCCTGTGCATCTTACAGTAGGTGAGCATTTCAGACTCCAAGTGCCACATGCATCATGCATTAACATGCTCAAAGAGACATTGTTGCAATGCTTAACAGCTGTGTGGCCATTCCTGATAGCTGTATAGGAAAATGCTAGGTATGATTTCTGAAAATGAAACCCACCGGGAATCAATTGGCCCAAGCATTGGAACATGGGCATTTTAAACATGCAGTAAGACAGAAGAAGCACAGAACAAACAACTTTTAGGTAAGAGTGGGGGGTAAAGGTGGACTCAGATTTCCAAAAAGTCTTCTCTGGGGTCTTTTATCTTTGCACATGAGGCATTTTATGCTGGAGAAAAGAACAAGAGGTGGAGGATGGAAAAAGGGATGGCTGATTCTGTCCCACAATCTAATATCAGATGAACACCAATGGTGTGAGAGTGCAAATTGATGTGTGTTTCTGTTCAGATAGCTCAAAATACATTGTCAAGGGCTTACTAGACAGTGAGTGGGCTAGATCCTAGGAAAGCAATAATAATTAAGACACCGTCCCAACTATTGCGAGGAAGATCCAATCCAAAGGAAAAGGAGACAATCGCACAGGTCTCTTCAATTTAACGGCAACCATATACTTGTTTTAACTCATGAGGAAAAAAAAAAAAAAACAGCTTTAAAAGTACCTGGTGGCGCAGAGGATTAATGCACAGCACTAAGAAGCTAAAGCCACTTCAGCATGAGTTCGAACCCACCCACACTGGAGGTGATCCACATGGCGTGGCAGACCTCTCCTGGCTGGCCCGCCTGCTGCTCCCCTCAGCAGTGTACTTCGTTGATCTGCCTCTTCTTGCTCTTCACTCTGTCTCTGGTGAATCCTCTCTCCACCCCTGCACCTCTGACCTGTACCCTAGTTCTGTATGCATAAATAAATAAAACTTTTTTTAAAAAATACCTGTAAACATTTGGTCTTTGGACAAAGGAAAAAAACATGATGAAACTGGAAATCTGTATCTGGGAATGTTGACTCTTCAGTGGGCCCTTGCTGATTTGATACCTGATTCTTTGAAGTTAGCATCACAGACCTGGTATTGAGCAAATTTTCATTATTTTAAGTAAATTTGAAAAATGTCTCTTAGTGACTATTTTATTTGTGCAGCTTCTGGTTCTTTTTCTTTAATTATGAGAAACATGTATTAACACATTTAATGCATGTGGGACTTTGACAATATGTTCCTGAAAATGTATTGTGTTTTCCATTTTATTATTTTCTTTGAAGAAAGTATCATTTCTTTATTAACTCACATGCATCAAATAATTCTGTTCTGGACTCCATGTTGAAAGTTTTTATACATTATTCCATTAAGTTCTCCCAACATTCATAAGAGGTGAATCCTAATGATATCGTTGTTTACTGGGAGGAAAATGAGGTGCTCCTTCCAAGTACTTACTAGGTTCACAAAAGAGGCTGAGAGATGTTATGTCCCTTCTTAATATGGCCAGCTCATATGAAACAAACCTGTAAATCTAGTTTTCAACTTTCTCATCTTCCTCCCCAAAATATACTCTCAGAAGCAGTGAAGTGGTGAGCCCTTTTCATCTTGAGATCTATGCCTGGATGTCACACCATAGGGCTGCAACACCATAGGGCTGCAACCTGTATTTACCTGACATGTCAATATTCGCATTCCAAAGTACAAAACAATCTGCTTATCAGAAATTTTAAATATTTATTTTCTTTATTTATGCATACAAGGACTGGGTTGTAGGTTAGAGGTGCAGGGGGTGAGAGGATTCGCCAGAGACAGAGTGGGGAGCAGAATATGTGGATCTACTGAGACACACTGCTGAGGGGGAGTGGCAGGTGAGATAGGAGAGGTCTGCTGCACCATGTGAGTCATTTCCCGGCTGGGAATTGAGTTCACTTTGCAGTGGCTGCAGATAACTTGATAGCTGAGACTCTAACCCCTGCACCACCAGGGAGGCTTCAGACTTGTTTTGTGAGGGCATTTCAATGTGCCGTCTGCAGGAATCATTCTCTACTTAACTAGTAGAAAACAGTCAGCTCCTGCTCAGCCCCTCCTCTCCTTCTTTTCTGGCATGAACTATAGAGAGTTTGGTCTTAAATGCCAGCTGTTTCTTCCTTAGATACTCACTCCCATCACTGGGAAAGGGACCAACATGATGATGAACATAGGCCAGGAAGACGTTGTTCTCCAGTGGAGATGGTCATCAGAACCAAGTGGAGAGAAGCCACCATCAACTGGAATGGAGCAGTTCCCTTTTTCTGAAGAAAGCTAGGATGTACAGAGGTGCACTGATACTCTCTCTCTCTCTCTCTCTCTCTCTCTCTCTCTCTCTCTCTCTCTCTCATATCTCACGTAGGCCCTCTGCAGTTGCTGTCAGTGTTATGGGAGAAACAGGCATTTATGCCAGTGCCTGCATCGTGACGCCTCTGTACTCACATAGATGGGTTCTTTAATTTTATGGAGGAGAGCAAATGAAGAGTCTCTTTCCTCCATGCTATTTCCAAATTAGTCCTATTTTTTTTTTTTTAGTGTGATTGTCCCCGAGGATTACAAAAGCAGGCAACTAGCCTTCATTTGGGGATGAAGTCATCGGTCATGCATCGTCAGATCTTTAGTTATGGCAAACACTCAAACCTTTTTAAAGATTTCCTGGTATGAAAAGCATTCCTTTCCAAGGTTACATTTCACATGCCCACTTTAGCAAGTTTTTGTCATTAAAATAGTAAATGTGTTTCTTTGGGCTGGAAGCAGGGACTATTCCTGGTAGATTAGCAACTATAGCAGTTGACTCATGGGCTTAAATAATCAAGGCAAGCTTGAAGGAGACATTCTATCAGTTCTATGTTTGTTTCTTCTCTTTATAAACTGGATATAGCTACACAAATGGACAAATATGTAAATCCAGAAAGAATCACATCCTGAGGTACTATTCACAATAACCAGGGTTGAAAATAACATACGTGCCCAGTGATGAAGGCTGGATAAAGAAGATGTGGTATACACATAACAGAAATACTCAGCTATTTAAAAAGATGAAATCCTATAATTTGCAACAACATGGGTGGACCTAGATGAAATTATGCTTAGTGAAATAAGACAAAGAAAGAACAATGCATGAATATAATAAACACATGAATGAAATAAAACAAAAATAAGCTTCTCAATGATAACACCAAATTAATGATTATGGGAAGGGAAGGGTGAAAGCACATGGGTAAATTGGGTAAAGGAATCAAATGTATCATGAAGGGCAGAACTGGACATTTTAGTGGTGACCAAGATGTATTATATGCAGATGTTGATTTGTAATGATAAATTTCTGGAGCTTACATAATGCTATAATGCACTGTTACTTCAATAAAAATGTTTAAAAGAAAGAAGTTTGATTCCTAGATAAAAGTATATGTAAAAATAATATCTTATGTCATTGTCCAAAGAGGAAAACAGTACTTTTTTAGAATATGATCTTTCCCTCTCCTGTTGGATATCTAAAGAAATACACAAAGTAGACACAAATTATTTCTAAAAGTACATAGAACCATCTAGACCTTTTCCCCACATACCCCACTGATCTGCCAACTCAGAGACTTAGAGCTTTGTATTTACAAACCAAAGATTAGCATGCAGAAGAATAACTTTTCTATACCAACTGTCTAAAGTAATTTGTTAAATGCATTTTCATTTGGCTCAGTGAATATATTTTAACTTAAGGAGCATATAGAAAATGAAACTTCAAAGTAAATAACAAATTAGTTAAAAGAGAAAGCCAATTTGGCTTGGATTGCTGATTACAGTGTCATTGGTGTTTCATCGGGGATCTTAAATCATGAGCCAAAGGAGTGGGTCTCTAGAGACCCTGGTCTTAGTCTTAGCAATATTGTGTTTTTTCCCAAGATGCAGGTCTGTTTTCAATTTATGGACACTGAGTTATTTCTAACTAAGTGTCCCTTTTGGAGAGGACTCCTAGAAAATTTAAAGCCAAGTGAAAAATCATAGCAAGTACATCTCACTAAAAAAAGCCTCACACAAAATGTCCAACAAAAATGGTCGAACGCAGGGTCACTCTCGCAGGTCATTCTTGCTCATCTTCAAGGATTCAACACAGGAACTTGATACCAGGACAAAATCAAAGCACTGTAGGAGGAAAAGGGCAGGCTGATAGTTGGGCATGCAAACCAAACAGTCTTAAATCAGCATGTTTGATTGGGCTAATTTCTAATCTATTTTCTCTTCTGCTCTATTTTTCCTTTGAATTTTTAGTTATATTGTTTTGCCTTATTTTACATGTTATAGTCTGTATTAAATAATTCTTGAAGAGAATCCATGAATCAGTAAAATTAAACAAATGGGTGAGTCAACTTTGTTTTACACATATTAAAATAATTTTGAGATAGTAAATAAGCCCCAAAAGGCGGTCTCTCCATCTTGTCAGTGTCAGTGTTTAGCGACGTTGAGACGATGGGGAGCATCTTGGGATTGTGCTCCATGGCGAGCTGGATCCCATGTGTGGCAGTGCTCCATGCTTGCTGTGCTGATGCTGTCCCAGTGGAAACAACTCCACTGTAACTAGGTTGATCTATGCACTTTTCTTGCTTGTTGGAATTTGTGTAGCTTGTGTAATAATGACACCAGGAGTGGATGAACAACTGAATAAGATTCCTGGGCTTTGCGAGAATGAGAAAGGTGTTGTCCCTTGTAATATTCTAGTTGGCTATAAAGCTGTATACCGTTTGTGGTTTGGCTTGGCTATGTTCTATCTTCTCCTTTCTCTGCTAATGATCAAAGTGAAGAGTAGCAGTGATCCCAGAGCTGCAATACACAATGGATTCTGGTTCTTTAAATTTGCTGCAGCAATTGCAATTATTATTGGGGCTTTCTTCATTCCAGAAGGAACTTTTACAACCGTATGGTTTTAAGCAGACATGGCAGGTGCCTTTTGCTTCATTCTCATACAGCTAGTCTTACTTAGTGATTTTGCACATTCATGGAATGAATCCTGGGTTGAAAAAAATGGAAGAAGGGCACTCAAGATGCTGGTATGCAGCTTTGTTATCAGCTACTGCTCTGAATTACCTGCTATCTTAGTTGCTATTGTCTTATTCCTTGTCTATTACACTCATCCAGCCAGTTGTCCAGAAAATAAAGCAATCATCAGTGTCAGCATGCTCCTTTGCCTTGGTGCTTCTATAATGTGTATACTGCCAAAAATCCAAGAATCACAACCAAGGGCTGGTTTGCTACTGTCTTCAGTAATTACAGTCTATATGATATAGTTGACATGGTCTGCTATGACCAATGAACCAGAAACAAATTGTAATCCAAGTCTCCTAAGCATAATTGGGTTCAATACAACAAGCACTATCCCAAAGGAAGGTCAATCAGTCCAGTGGTGGCATGCTCAAGGAATTATAGGCCGAATCCTGTTTTTATTGTGTGTATTTTATTCAAGCATCTGCACTTCAAACAATAGTCAAGTTAATAAACTGACTCTAACAAGTGATGAATCAACATTAATAGAAGATGGAGGACCCAAAAGTGATGGGTCACTGGAAGATGGAGATGATGTGACCAAGCTATAGATAATGAAATGGATGGTGTTACTTACAGTTACTCCTTCTTTCACTTCATGCTCTTCCTGGCTTCACTTTACATCATGATGACCCTTACCAACTGGTACAGATATGAGCCTTCACGTGAGATGAAAAGCCAGTGGACAGCTGTCTGGGTGAAAATCTCATCTGGTTGGATTGGCATCGTGCTGTATGTTTGGACACTGGTGGCACCACTTGTTCTTACAAACCGTGACTTTGGGACTTCTAGCACGAAATTTCCACTTTGATCATTGTTTATTTGAAATTAACAGTATTTCCAACGTTTGTTAAGTTGTATATGTATGGACTTCCCTTGTAACCTTTCTAGTGTTATGGCATGAATTAGATTTTATTGCTTGCCATTCTATTCATTATTTTCTTGCCATGTTCATTGCTGTGTGTGTTAGAATGAATCAAAAGAATTTTTTGAGTATGATGATAAGTTAGAAAAGTAGACATTGTTAGGGTTATCATTGCTGCACATGTGAAATTAAGAGTAAAAACAATACTGTTTAGCAATTTGATTTTTAAGTCATGTAAAATAATTTTGATATATAAATAGATATTAATCACTGTATTATTCTGAATGCATACATAGTTCATCTCCTTCTAGAAGGGCATGGAGAACTTGGTGTTTTGTTTTGTTTTGTTTTGTTTAAGCCACTGAGAAAACTTTCTTATTACATTCCACAAGGTGGTGCTATGACAATGACATTTTCAATCTCATTATCAAACATAATTATCAGTGTGGGCATTTATGTTACACTCACACACAAATAGGAAATAATTATAAAATTGATGAACCTTTACTCTTTATACTACTTAGGATTGAATACTAAGCATGGTGGGTAGGATTGCTCTGACCTATGAGTCAGACTTTCTCCTGCACTTCAATGAGGGCAGCAAGAACTAACAATGTTTACTCAGAATTCAGAATAGCTCTGTTTGCATCAGGAAGGCCCTGAGCTATTAAAATAGCTGTCTGAATGTTCCTTCACCTTTCCTTATTTCCTCCAAAATTCTTTCCAACACAACAATCATTTATCTTCTAAAATTTGAATATGAAATTTGAATTTGAAGCATAGACTCATTTCATGTTCTTAAGAAAAATGTGAAATTTTTGAAATGATCTATGGGCTGTAAGATTTAGCTACTGGCTCACCTCATGCCACTCTCCTTCTTGACCCATGCTCACCACAAGCCCATCCCCAGTCAGAGGCTTTGTACATGTGTTCCCTCCCCAATATCATTCTTCAGATCTCTGCTAAAAACAAAACAAAACAAAACAAAACAAAAAATGCCTTTTCAGAGAGGACAAGTGAACTCTACCAAACCTTCAAAGATTAACTAATTCTTATCTTACTCAACGTCTTCCAAAAAATTTAAAATAGGGCCCTCCTTGGTGGCACAATGGGTTAGGGTACAGCACTGCAAGCTAGCCTCAGCAGCTTTGTGAGTTCTATCCCTGCCCTGGAGGGGACCCACATGGCACAGCAGACCTCTCTTGTCTTACCCACTGCTCCCTTCAGCAGTGTAATTCATTGATCTGCCTACTCTGCTCCTCACTCTGTCTCTGATGAATCCTCTTACCACCCCTGCACCTCTGGCCTATACACCAGTTCTGTATGCATAAATAAATACATTTTTTAATTAAAAAGAAAAAATACATACAGATACTCCA